TAGTTATTTAACCTAACATTTCACGTTGAGAGCTAATTTCCACCATGTAGAGATGAATAAGTTCTGTAGAACATGTGTTCTTAAACCTGATGCAGGTGACAAAGACTCAAACACACAGTGATGTTAAAGCTGGAAGATACTGAGTGTTCAGTGAGGATCAGGGTCTCCATCTTCTCTGATGTGTACAGTTGTTGTGTCTGCAGTAAAACCTCAAACCAACCTGAGTGTGATTTCTCTTTAGTTCTGGCCTCACTGCTGTGCTGCACAACAAACCAAGGTGAGTGAACTCCTTCTGCCAGCGTCTGAAACTCACTGTCTCACAAACCCTGACAGAAAAGTCAGTGTTGAGGACACAGCTGGGAAATCAGGATGATCAGTGAAGATGTTTCTACATTCACAGATCAGTCAGTCTCTTAATAACAGGACCTGAGAGGCTTTTCATCCCAGCAGACTCACTTTTCAGGACTCAGTTCCTCCTGGGTTCCTCACATCTGGGCCGGATCAGATTCTGTTGCTATAAAGATGAATATAGTGATGCTGGGTAGAGAGGAGAGTGAAACAAAGCCTTTCAGCCTGAAGTGAAGTTACTCTTTAATGAAACCACCATCTTTACTGAACCTTTACTGAGAGCTGCTGAAAAACAAGTTCAACCTGCTGCAGCTGCCACTCGCAGATCATGCAGGAACACAAATGAGACACGCTGACGATGAAAAGTGTTTCTTCATCACGTTGATGAAAATGTGACCCTGCAGCTTTTTGTTTCTCTGTTTCACATCAGCGCTGCCTGAATGTAAGTTTTAGGATGCAGCGTTGGTTCATGAAGTTTCTGAAGTTGTTTTTGAGACATAAATATGTTTCCACTGCTCGAGAACTCAGAGAACATATTTAAACCTGAGGCTGTGATTTACAACATGAAACATCTTTGAGTCTTTACTGTCTGCAAATGAAGGAACGAGCTGTAATGAAACCATCACAGAGGCTGCTTCAGGTTCAGGTTTTGGTTTCAGGGTTTCTCCTTTGTTGCACTTAAAGGGTTATTTAGTTTGGACAAACGTGCTAAAGATCATCAGTGTTTCATTTCAACCCTCCAGCCTCTCTGACTGTGAGTCCCAGCAGCTCTCAGCTGTTTGAAGGAGAGTCTGTCTCTCTGAGCTGTGAGGACGACGACAGCTCTGCTGGATGGACGCTGAGGAGGAACACAACCAAACGACAGATGACTCAGTGTGGAGCTGGCTGGGGAAGATCAGCAGGTTCTTCCTGTAACATCAGCTACATCGACCCAGTGGACAGTGGAGTTTACTGGTGTGAGTCCAGAGAGGGAGCAACCAGTAACACCATCAGCATCACTGTCACTGGTAAGATCAGACTGTGGAGTTAGTGTTGATGAAGCTGTGTGTAAATGATGAAATGCTGTAGTTTGTCTCTGTGTTGAGGTGGACCAGTGATCCTGCAGAGTCCTGTCCTCCCTGTGATGGAGGGACATGATGTCACTCTGCACTGTAAAACGAAGACCCCTCCCTCCAACCTCACAGCTGGTTTCTATAAAGATGGCTTTCCTCATCAGGACTGAGCCTACAGGTCACATGACCATCCACCATGTTAACAATTTCTGATGAAGGCCTCTACAAGTGTGACATCAGCGGTCGTGGAGAGTCTCCATCCAGCTGGATCTCTGTCACAGGTGAGGAGGTTTCCTTTGATTTCAGGACTTATTCCATCCAGAGATTCACCTGATGAGCTTGATATGTCAAGTATGAATAAATGGGAATGGTTCAAACACGAAATTAAACAATAAATAAAAAAATCAATCAAACGTACAAGTAGTCTTGCCAGATTTAAAGATCGGACAAATGCAAATCAGCGATAGGAAGTGCAACAATAAAGCTATTCGCAAAGCCTTCACTCTTAAAGGTTTTCATGATTATGCAAAAAAAGCAAATATTAAAATAATAGATAATAAATTACTAATCATAGATAAATATTTAAAATTCCTGAAATGACTGATTTCTCCAAAAATAAAATAAATGCAATTTAAAATTATTAATGGTTATTATCCAGCCGCAGAAACATTGAGAAGAAGGTTCAGATTTGAAGTTGACCTCTGCTGTTTCTGTCTGGAAGAGACAGAAACTAATGAACATCAAAACGTGAAAGACTGGCTTAATGTCAGGATTAAGAACATAAATAATTTTGATAACCTGTCCAAGGAAATATGTGAGATGGTCAACATAATCATAATTATGGGAAAATATCATATTCACGTGTGCAAATGGAAGAAGCAAAAACCCATGTTGAAGTGTTTCAGGAATGAATTAAAGATTTATTTATCTTCCCTACAAGTACTGTCAGATACACACCAGCCAATACAAAAACTGTGTCACACTATGCTGCAATATTTAGTGTTTAATTTAGGATAAACAGATACAGCTGGATTACCTGTGTTATGGGTCTGGACTGATAACTGGTGTCCTCAGAACTCAATGTAATCTGTAGTTATACACAATCACCAATATGTCTCCTCTCAGATAAAACTTTAGATAGTTTTTGTTTTGTAACTCATGACTCAAGACTCTCAAAACTACAATGTATGACATAGTAAAGATCAGGTGACACAGAAGGAAGAGCTGAACAAGAACTGTTGAATGACTGGAAATAATGTGCCTTCATTATAATTTCATAATTATCTATTTTATTTAAATTTTGTATTTTTTCGTGTCCTAAGTTGACCTAACATGAAAGTTTGCTATCCCTAGTATAGTTATTATTTTTACTGGAGCCTTGCTGTTCTTTTATGTTTGTATGGTTTTGAAGAATGCAAATAACAATTGTAAATTTTAAATAAAGAGGAAAACAAAATCTAGAGATTCACCTGACCAGGTGGATTCTCTCGACAGGTAAACCTACAACCACAGACCCGCCCACCTCTGTAGCCCCGCCCACCTCTGTAGCCCCGCCCCCGGCCTCAGTCCCCCTCCAGCTTGTGTTCAGACTGGTCTGCCACCTGGTGGTGTTCTGTCCGTACTGCATCTCCACTGTCCTCATGGTGTGTTTATATCGACGCAGGCCCACAGGTAACACTCTGACTCATTCACTGACCTCACAATCAATCAATCAATCAATCATCAGTCTCTCTCTGGTGTTGATGATTAACAGAAGCTCATTTTTTTTTCTAACTAAATGTAAATGTAAATGCTCCGTACTTGTATAGCGCCTTTCTAGTCTTTTCGACCACTCAAAGCGCTTTTACACTACATCTGCATTCACCAGTTGCACACATTCATACACTGAGCCTAAGTGCTCAAACAGAAACTAACATTCACACTCACTCATACACTTGCGGAATAGCCGCCAGGGGCAAATCGGGGTTCAGTATCTTGCCCAAGGACACTTCGACACGCAACCAGGGGGAGCCAGGGATTGAACCGCCGACCTTCCGATTAACGGCCAACCCGCTCTACCTCCTGAGCCACAGCCGCTCTAACCTGCTCTGACTTTAGGAAATGACCTGCCCGTCTCCATGGTGATGATCCCGCCGACCCAGGTTGAGGAGGGATTGGATGATGGCTATGATGACGTCATCAGCTGATCAGAGATCAAAGTAGTTCACCCTGCTGATCATTACATGGTTCACTTTAAAAGAGACGTCAGTACAAACTGTTGTTTCTGTGAAGACCATCCAGAAACTGTTTGCAACTCTCCTGGTTCTGTTTACACACCAGAACATTTTGGCAGATTCATCACTGACTGTGTTTATAAAGACTTTATTGTGGGAGAATGTGGTGTTTTCATTTAATAGAAGTCAAAGTAAAGAAAATATTTACTTTATTATAAATTTATTAATTCTGATGGCAAAATTCCACATTCATAAATAATTTAAAAAAACTAATGTTGTTCTTTTTCTCCATGAGGTTGTGCTTTAAATTAATTTGATTTCTGGCTCCAACAACAAAAAGGTGGTTAAAACTGTCAACATGTGCTCGTCTTTCTTTTCCTAATAGCATCTAAGCTTCCCCTGGCAAAGCTTTATATTATTGTGTCTGTGTTTTATATGTTTGTACGCTGGTGTGTTTATCTTTGTAAGTCTCATCTGAACTGTAAACCCCTTTTTGCAATAAAGATGACTTTTTAAAGAGAAAAGTTGTGTTTTCAAAGGAGCATGATGAAATTGAAACGTCCTGTTTTGATCCTGCAGTCACAAACCTTTAACTTCTACTTCAGATTCTGATGTCGTCTGTGCAGCAGCACCAAAACAAGCGGTGGAAGCTGATTTACAAAGGTGGAAAACCTCTTTATCGTCTTCTCGCTCTCACATTCCTTATTAAATATCATGTTTTCTAATGAACTGCATCACTTGTGGAAAACAAAAGCCCACTCTTTGGCCTCTGAGTCTGTTTGGGGTCAAAAGAAACCTCCAGACTTTCACTCTCAGTCCTTCAGAGTCTAACAGCTTCCAGAGGTTTTGTTGAAGAGTCAGACTGTGTTTGAGCGCCACCTGCTGCTCATTAAGCAGACAGACCAATAAAGATGAAGAATAAAGAGAACAGAGTGCTGCTGTTCCTCCATCTTCTGCTCTTTCCTTCATTGTTTTACTCTCTCTGGATGCTGCTGTGCTCTGACAGGAAATCACTGACGTTTAGTGGCTGAACGAGCAGCTTTGATTTGTTATTGAACTTTCTAATGTGTCTGTTAGCTCACATGTCTTTGACCTTTACACCTCAGCTCATGTCAGCATGTGTGTGTTCATGAGTGGTAATGCGGGCTGGTGCGCCTGAATTTCTGTCCCAGTCCGCCCCTGCAGAGACTGTTATTAAAGAAACAAAAGATAAAACTTTGCAGTGCAGAATCAAAAGTGCATTAATTGGTACACCAGGTTTAATTATTGTTGTAGGAAGAACGTGAAGTTTTTTTATTTTGTCACACCATAAATTGTAGAAATCACAGCCCATCCCAGAAGGCTACAAAAACAAAGAGGGCCCGGGGACCTCTGTTAAGGCTCCTGAGCTCCTGCCTCAAACTTATAAAGTTTCTGTTTACAGCTGTTTTCTAGTTCTGCTGTCATTTATTTGTTTTATTTCAATGACATTAACAGAAGCATTACGACACGTCATTGTACCTGAGTATAAAAACAATAAAGATCATTCAAATCTGACTTCAGTAAAATCATCACAGCAGTCTGACGCGCTGAACCAACTTCAGCAGCTACAGAGAAGCTGCTTTGTTTCAAACAGGCTGTGAATCTGCTGCCTGAGCAACGGTAACTAAGGGGCGGGGCGAGACGCCGTGACATCGCGAGAACACTCCGCGGGATCCCGCAGCGCTCCTGTATCTCAGCCTGAAGAGCTCCGAGACCAGAATCCAGACTCAGTCCAGGACAACACGGTCCACCAGTCACAGCGGAGACCTGCAGGACGATGGAGAACCAGAACCCGGACCACAGGAGCCAAACAGCAGCCTCGTGCTCTGATAGCGCCGATGTTCAGGTCAGTGTTCATGACTTCATCACGAGACTAAAGACACGAGGAAGAGTCTCGAGGGTCCGTGTATCATCCGTTCATTCTGTTGTTAGAGATCAGAGCCTGAAAACCCGCTCCAGGGTTTGTGTTGACGTGGTTTGATTTCCAAAGTGTCTCCGTGGTTCCTGTTTTCATCTTGAAGAGAGGAAGCTGAAAGAAAAACTCACGAGCGTTTCTCTTTTCTTTGTTCCGGGAGTTTCCCGCTCGGCGCATGCGCGGTGCAGCCCGTGTTGTGTCGGGAGCGCGCAGCAGAAACAATGCTGGTGAAAAGTGAAGCAGAGTCATTATATTTCCTCGTGTGTTGGTGAGTTTATCACAGTGACAAACAGTCTGCCTGCGTTATTATTCTCTGAATGACCTGAGATGAGCTGCAGTTACTTCAGCTGTTTCTAAACAACAATTTATTTGGACCCTTGTTTGTTTATTATGTCTCAGCTATGAGGCCACGAGGCATCAGTCGAGTGAAAGTAACCAAGTGCAACCTGCACAACAGGCTGTTCAAAAATACATTTTAACACGATACTGTCTCCCTGATTCATAGGTGTTTCTAGACCCCTTTACTGGGTCACGCGCTCCTGTATTCATGCGCTGCGCCCCCCTAGTTAAGACCCCTTGGCATCGTTTTTGGACGTGTAGGGCTCCGCGGTGAAGTTAGCAACAAGATGGTGATTATCTGTGTCTCAGTCAAGGTTTAATGTTCGTTACAACTCTGGACTAATGCAGGATGGAAAGCAGTGGATTCACAGTGACTAACATGTTGATTAGTGGGTCAGACTGGGCAATAAAAGTAAATAATAACCATCACGTATTCAGGAGGGCAAAAATGAGGCTGAAGCAGAACATACAAAAATATGAATTAATGATGAAGTTGAATAATTAATAAGCATCTTGTAAGTTTACGGTTATGTCAAATTTCAAATGGTGTCGTCTTTAAGTTTGTATTCGACGGAATACCTTATTCTCTCATTTAAAATAACTGAAACATGTTTACGTGACAAAAGCTCCCTGTTTCTTTTTTTAATTGCCGTTAAAAAATAGCATAATTTGAAATTGAATTTAATAGCTTGAAAGTGAATTCCAATAAACGTAAAACTGAATATACTGATAATAAATATAATATATGCACCGAGGATAAAAACTACTGATGCCCTGTTCTGCAGGTCAGTCGCTGTGAGCCAGGCCCAAACACTCAACAATCTTTACATCTATTCATGGTCACATAATTGTTTAATCAGCTAATATATATCCTATGTTTGTTTTAATATCTGTAGTCACAGATCGCCTCCAGTAGTATCAGCAGCAACCCGTCAACAGCAACTGTTCCCTGTACGTTATGTCAACAGTGTTTTAAAGCTGGAGCTGGGTATTGGCTGTCAAGGTCCAGGTTGACGGGAGTTTGTTTGCTGCTGATCCACCTTGGGCAGTTGGAAAATCCAGAGCAGATAATAAATAAACACTGAAAGATGGGAAGGAAGTACAACCTTTAGATCTGGGGAAAGTTATTTGGTTGGTTATGATGCTCTCCACGGTGATTTTACATTTATGGCGCAGCACCTCAGAATCATTATAGAAACGTTCATGTTTGCCTTTTGTGTCTTCATTTTACAGCTTCTGACATTTATCTGTAGACATTAATATAAAAAATAGGCAATATGAGAAACCAGCTCCCTTCTGCACATTAAAATCCAAAAAGTAACGTCTTCTCGTTCGCTTAAAAGGACTAGTTTGCATCACTAATTTGCTTTACTAACCTCAGCTCCTCCACAGTCAACACCTTTTCCCAACAACCACTTTTTCAGACTCATCTGAAAACTGAAAAATAATTTAATGCAGGATGGAAAGCAGTGGATTCACAGTGACTAACATGTTGATTAGTGGGGCAGACTGGACAATAAAAGTAAATAACAACCATCAGGTATTCAGTCAAGTCACAGAATAAATAGTATTTCACCTTTGACAATTAACATCTATCAAGTATTGTCTATGATTTACTAGTTCTAGGCTGAAGTTCGTCAGTAGATGCTGGATCATCAGCCAGTACGAGCACAGCCAGCAACAGATACAAGCAGCTCAGACTTCATGAGGACTGAGTTAGTGCACAGAGGTCCATTCAAACCAGCACTAGTCTTTTCTAGAAGAGCTTTAGATTCAAAATGAATAATTTGCTTTTATAATTTATTTTATTCATGATAATTCCACAAGCTTGTACTATGTTGTTGGTGATATGAATGCTGACCTTTCAGACAGAAGTTAATTGTTTGCTAAACATGTGTTTCAGTTTTGTGATGATGACTAAAATATTGTTCTTAAGTAAAAGTACTGTTGCATTGATCTACTCAAGTAAAAAGTCGGTCATTTAAGATGTACTCAGAGTACACGTTTTTGTTTCATTATGAAACTGTGGCTGAACATAATTAACTAGTGACCAGCAGGTTGCTTGTGCAAACCAACATCATCAATGTCATGCACCGATGTCTTTTTGGCTAACGAAACTGTGAGAACTTCTTCTTTACCAGCGGCCTGTGGTCCAAGCAGGGTGCAAACTACAGGGAAGCTCTGCTCTTCTTACTAAGACATGACATGATTGTTTTTGCCATTCATTTCTAAATCTTACGTATCATGGGGGGGGGGGGAACGAGGAGCGTCAGGCTTCATCCAGCCAGAGGGAACGATCACAATGCTCCTGATTTACGCATGAACCATGTGCCTCTGGAGCTGGAGACTCTCCGCAGCAAGAGTCACAGTCGGGTCCTGTCTTTCAGCCACGTTTCAGTGATTGGGCTGTGTATACTTACCAAGAAGTGTAATTATGTGTTCTAACGTAAATTATAATGAAACTGCTCGTTGTGAAGCTCTCTGTGCTGTGTATGAGGCAAGTAGACCATACATACTCTGATAAGGCTCATAACATCAAGTCAGGTTGGAATAAGTTTGTAGCTGCACATAATGCAGAAGCTGAGGAGGCATTTAAGGCTTGGGTTCTGGCTGGTAGACCCAGACAGGGGCCTGTCCTAGACCTCAAAGATCACTAATGCTAGGTATAAATATGCCATTTTATGTTTGCAAACACAAACGGGTCATGAGAGCGGACTCTGTGGCTGAAAACCCACTTTGTAATAATACCATTGACTTTTGTGAGGAGGTGAGTGCTCTGAATAAGTTACCACCTTTTGTTACCACGCGCTATAGAGGGAGTTTCTGAAGCCGGCAACATAGCAGAGGTTGTGGAGGCAACACTACTCGGTTTTATTTAACTGCGTCAAAATGATCCCTATAAAGTGGGAAATATTGCAGGGACACGTTTGGAATCACAACCATTAAGCAATATTGTTGTTATTGTTGAACTGAAACAACTGGAAAAAGTTCTGGGATAAAACAGTCTTCTTGGGCACAGCTTCCTCTGTAGGTTTACCTGCTTCAACAACGAGCTGCTCCTGTGTTAGTGCCACAATGATTCTTTGCGTTGTAAAGATTATTTAGATGCTTTAGGAATAATCAGATTGTTTTGGCAGCCCATGCTGCTGCAAAGCAAGCGTTTTTTTGGCTACATGTCCATAATAAAAGATACGGGCAACAATAGTCTGGAGCGTGAGCTGACCAGGGACAAACTCCTGGGTACTTTTTTGCCTCAGTCTGTGACCATCCTTGCATCCTGCAGTATTTTAAGACGAAAAGGTCCCAGGAGCAGAAGTAGAACAAACTGAGGATGACGAGCTTGTAAGTTGTGTGGATAACTAGTAGACATAATATATTCTAAAACTCGCATAGTAAAAAGACTTTGTTATTCCAATGACATGTCATCAGAGTTTGCTTTGAAGACAGTTCTGTGTTCATAAACATTTGTAGCAGGGAGAGTCAGGGCCAAGTGAGACACAGGAAATATCACAGAAGAAGAAAGTGCTGTCATTCGCTATCTGATTGAGAAATACGATAATGCTTCCACTGATGACTTCCTGAACATGGCATCCCTAGTTCATCCTAGATTTCAAGACAACAATTTCAGCAACTTACCCCAGAGTGAACCTCCTGGCAAAGCGGTACCTGTGTATTCCTGCCACCATCTCATCCTCAGAGCGCGGATTTAGCACTGGTGGCAATATTGTGACCTGCCACAGGGCAGCTTTAAAACCAGATGCTGTGGACAGACTAGTCTTTCTGGCCAAAAACTTATAATGGGGTTACATATAATGAGCACTACCTAAAAGGTGTGGCATAGTGACTGGTTTACAATTACAATGTTTACATTTTGCACTTTTATACTATAGACTACTATAGATTTCTACCTCTAAAAACATTTGATGTAAAACCAGTACACAATATTTTATTTACCTGAAAGATGAGTACTTAAACGTGTCGGACTTTGTGGTTCACTTGTTTACTTTTGTTGTTATCAATATTATTTTATAACTAAATATATTCTCAACCAAGCCATGTTTGGACAGTTAAATGTTTACATTATGTTACTCTATTTTTTTAATGTTAATAAACTATATACTTAAGTTCAACTATTGAACCTTCTGGTTTCATATACTCTTCAAACTGGCAGCATTATTAAATTATATATCATAACAAATATCTATCGATCAATATGGAAAGAAATGTCGTGATATATATTTTGCCATATCGTCCAGCCCTACAGACAGCTACATCAAGTGTAACAGTAGGATAACTAAACACATTTGTACTGTGGCTACATTAACTAGCAGCTGTTCCATGGTTTTTATGGTATGTATTCGGTAGTTTAAATAGTTTTCACAATCTCCCCTCTCCAGTCTGTTCTCCATCTTCTGTCACTACAAAGACCCTCTTTCAGCCACACTAATAAGTACATTCTGTTTTCAAAAGTCATTAGAAATGAGCATTTAATCAGAATCAGACGGAGCTTTATTGCCAAGTAGTGTTTAACACATATGAGAAACTTGTTTTGGTGATAATGTGCTACACGTAGACAAACTGACACCAATAAATGTATAAATATGGAATGGACAATGCAACTTATATAATAATAATAATAAAGAACAGAGAAAATAATAAAACTATTTGCAGACGATTGCCTATAAGCTATTTAAGTGCTTTATTTAAAAAAAAAAAAAAAAAAAAAAGCTAGCTAGCACCAAAGTCCTTCTCAGACAAGAAGGGATTAACGCGCCCACATAATCATTTACAATTAGTTGAGCAGCAATCAGACAAATGGAGCAACATGCAGGGGCGATAATGTGAAACGGTCGCAGCTGTCATCTCACAATCACACCACCCGCCACCGGAGAGACAGGGCATCAGGCAGAGAGAGACTGATCCTTCAGTGTGAGTTTCCTGATGCAAAGAGCGGCGCCACTCAATCAGCTGACTGCATGTCTCTCTCTGTTTTCCTTACAAAAACGGAGATGAATTTGAAAGTTTGTAGTTATATTATTTAGTTATAGACTCCATTATTTCAGATTGCACATTTAGCTGTTGACAGTTTTTTAATTTAAATAAGTTATTGTCATGGATCCTGCTTTACCATCCATGTGCTATAATAGCATTGCTAGACCAATGATTGGGGGGGGGGGTCTCAGTATATTTTCATGCTTTTTTTGTTCTTTGTCAGGCAGAGACATGTTCTAAATGCCATCTATTGTTCTAGATAGCTCGCTCCACCTTGAAATCTCACTTACTGTCTTTCTCTCTGTATGTCTCTGTTGCTATAGAAACGGGGAGGAAGAGAGGGACTCAAACGTCACCACTGTCAGCACTGTGACAAATACTTCACAAGATCTGGATATTTAAAGACTCATCAGAGACTTCACACTGGAGAGAAACTGTACTGGTGTGAACAATGTGGTAAACCTTTCACTCAGTCAAGTAACCTAAGAATCCACCAACGTGTTCACACTGGAGAGAAACCGCACTGGTGTGAACAATGTGGAAAAACTTTCACTACATCAGGTCACCTAAAAAACCACCAACTTGTTCACACTGGAGCGAAACCGCACTGGTGTGAACAGTGTGGGAAAACCTTTACTCGATCAAGTGGCCTAAAAGATCACCAACGTGTTCACACTGGAGAGAAACCGTACAGCTGTGACCAGTGCGGGAAAACTTTCGCTCAATCAGGTTACCTAAAAACCCACCTGCGTGTTCACACTGGACAGAAACCGCACTGGTGTGAACTGTGTGGGAAAACTTTTGCTCGATCAGGTATCCTAAAAAAGCACCAACGTGTTCACACTGGAGAGAAACCATACAGCTGTGACCAGTGTGGGAAAGCTTTCACTTGCAGTCGTTCCCTAAAAAGACATAAAAGCATTCACACAGCATCGTTTTAAGCTAGCTCTTTCCTCCTTCCTCTCCTCCTCAGTACAACCACCTGTGTAATGTGATTGTGCTGGACTAACATCATGTAATGACAACCAAGAAGTTGGATTTGCTGAAAGAGTAACTACACACTAGGGCCTGACCGATATGGGTTTTTGGGGGCCGATGCTGATATTAAAATTAAAAAAAATATATTTAGATTTTTACAATTACATGTTTCAACGTAACATTAAACAGACTGCTGTGACACAGGAGGAAGTGAAAAACGGGAGCAAGTCATAAACGTTTTCAGGACAGGAGAGGTGATTTTATTATTATTTAAGTCAAATGATTAACGTGAAAAAAACTGGTAAGACGGTAACACGGCTACGTTCCCTTCTTGTTACTGTGTGCTCCAGAAGACTCCGGTCAGCTGATTGTTTTCTATTGTGGTGTACCAGTGTTTTGAACAACGAAGCTGCAGAGTGCCCTCTGTTGGGCAAAATATGCAACAACCATGATGCGAGTGAAGGATCTGACTGTTTTTTAATAGTCCAAAAATCACCAATGCCAATTTAAATGCCATTAGCTCATATCGGCGTGCTCTAATACACACCCTGCTTCTGCGAGCTCCTTGTAGAACCCAGTAATGTAGTCACTTCCTGATGTCATAACTCCCAATAATGTAATAAAAACTAACAATGATGATATTTTAGAGTTTGACAAAATGTATATAACTCATCTGGCGTGTATTAATTCAGCGTCCAATGAAAAGCTTTGTCATTTTTATGATGCCACCGGAGTGTAGTGTTTCTGGGGTCCGACCGGACCTCACTGATTATTGTACAAGAACAAAAACACATTATTAACTGATTTTGGTGAAACTGGATCAAATTAGATGGAGAACAATATTTCCTTGTTCTCCCTTTGATGTCCCCCGGTTGCCCTGCCTATCTGTGATTTACATAGTTTGCTGATGAACAGATAGTTTTACTTTTTGTTAAAGTAAAGGCTAACTGCTACTAGCTGCTGTTAGTTAGCCCAGTTAGCTGTCATTTTAGCGGGCTCTGCCTGGACTGGGAGCTCAGAGCACTGGGGGAGTGTTTACCGGTACACTTCTAATGTTACTCAAGCAATGGAAGTTTTCAGGCCGGGGGGTTTGTAAAGTTTATGGCATACATTAACGGGAGGTTATTATTTGCAGAACTAGATAATGTAAAAATCTCCCAATATAAAAAGGGAGCAGCGCTCCAGCTTTCGGACAAATAAACACCCGTGGTCGAGCTGGATTCTGCTCTGACATCTATGTCGTTTGCTCGCTGGAGGAGTAATAGTGTTGTTGTTGTGTAGTTGTGTTTTTTCGCGTTATCGCGTTGTGCATGAACACTCAAGCAGTTGCCTAGGGATAAAACCCTCACGAGGAGAGCGTTGCATGGATTAAATTCGCATTTGGTCTGAATGCTGCATTAGGAGCAGCCATGAGCAGCTGCTGCCAGACTGTCCGTGCTCCGCTGGAGCTTTGATCGTCACTAGAAACACACTCATGGCATCACAGTACGGAGGCTTGAGTTTAGACTCATTTATTACAGATGTGTTCCTTAAGGTCAAGAATGAAATATTGTTTCTCTGAGCTTCATGCATATTTTCTTGTTGTTGTGTTGTAGTTGAACATATTTTCCTCCTCTGTGGAATTTTCATTTAATCTTTATTTTATATCTGTATACACTGTTTTTATTTTCTTTTGATTCTACTTTGTGTCAACACATATCAATGATACTTTTATTTTCTTGTCTTGACTGTTTTTAACCTTTTTTGTTATGTATATTCAATTTGATTCAAATCTATTTCTCAGAGAATTTGAATATCGTGGAAAAGTTAATTTGTTCCTGTAATTTTATGTGAAACTTTCATATATTGTAGGTTCATTACCCATAAAGTGAAATATTTTAGACCTTTTGTTTTAAGCTTGATTACAGCTAAGAGTTAATGGAAATCCATACTGTAAAATCCTAGAATAAAGAATGTATAATATTTGTTGCTTTCTGTTTAACTTGCATCCTGCCAGTGTTGGTGCTGGAATAATCTGAGCTGGAGACTTAAGACTTGGACTGAATCCTTTTCAGTGTTCTCATTAAATTAGTCGACACAAAGAGAAGCTTTGAATCATCATTTTAACAATGAACTGTTTTCTTTCAACAATATTTGTGAAAATGTGACAAATGTGACAGGTCCAAAATATAAACACAGCAGCTTCCAGCATCTTCTAAATCCTGGTGGTGCAGAAAGTTCTGACATGTGGTTTAACTTGACTCTTAAGTTCCTGTCAGTGGTTATGATTTGCTGACTTCTCTGCCACTAAGCGACCTTTGCGGTGGCATCATAGGGCCCTGTGGCCAGCAGATGGCCCCCTACAGTCACTGCTTGCTAGTGGTGGAAAAAAACCATAAAATAAAATGAAAGACAGCTCTTTATATTTCGCAATAAATGGTTATTTAATTATAATACTATGGAAAACCAGTTGCCCTGATGGGTCAGCCGGACCACCTCGTGACTGGAAGCTGTTTGTTTCCCGAGCTTTGTCTGAGGGGAGGGACTTTGAAAACCCCTGATGTAGAGTATTGCCTAGTTATTGTTTTTAATCAGAATCAGCTTCATTTCCAAGTAGGTTTAAGAAATTTGATTTGGTGCCAAACAAACATGGCAGGTTTAAGAATATTAGAAAGATTTGTCGGGTCTTATTTTAAAATGAGACAGTGACAACACCTGACAGTCAGAGGGTCCTCCAACTAAATTTTGATTAGGGCCCCTGAAGGTCTTGGGCCGGCTCTGCTTTTCTGTGTCTGTATAAATAGTTTGTTTGACTGCACGCATTAGAATGAGCCACAAACCAGAGAGCTGCAGCTGTTATCCAGCCTCTGGGAGATTCACCGTTTTTATTCCCCCACCCTCCGCCACTATAAAGTCGCCGAAAGTCAGCCGCCGTCATCTCGAATGCACCTAATGTGTGACAGTCCACTGTAGGTCTTCAATGAATAGTCGACGTAATCCACGACGTCGACTAGAAAACTTTGTCAACATGTAATTTCATTACAGAGAGGCTGTTTAAGGCAGAGATGGCAATCTTCCCATTAAGAACATTTCTGGTTGTTTATTTCTAATTGCAATGCACTACAGGAAGTGCCACTTCCACTGTCTGCCATGACTGCTTGACTGTAAGGCTACTCCCAAAGAAGAAGCTTTCATGCTGGAAGTGGAAACTAATGGAGAAATAGCAGAATGTTTTTTTGTTGTTACAAATCAACTGTGTAGAATTTTGAATATGGTCCGTGTTACCAATGTTGATGGCGAATCAAAAATGTGCTCAAACGTTTTCAGGCTTGAAGCTCCACAAGCGCCCGCGAGGTCAGCACCCACAGAGCCCTCTGGTCCCAGTTGGACCACTACAGCAGCAACAACAGAGGAAAGACGGTGTTTCCCATACGTTCATTTATTATTACATTATCCACTAAGTTACTGCCTAAAACTTACAAGGACCCAGCCTTTCGCCTGATGTAAACTGGCATTGGTTCCAGCCCCCCGCGACCCTGTACACAGGATAAGGGGTTGACGATGGATGGATGGAGACATTGTTAGTGTTATTTTATATAGTTCCAAAGCAAAAAGCTTTGTTAAACAGTTTAGTTTGTATAAATCAGAATTATAGGAGTAGCCTACGCTGTCATCTTCTTCCCTGGTTCATTTTGAATGGTAAACCTCGTTCACTTAAGCGTGATTTATACTCCTGCGTAGGGTCTACATGCGTAGCTACATACGTAGCCATGCATTTATACTTGTGTGTCAGTGTCTCTGAAATTCAGTAGCGCTACATTGGTGTAGAACAGTGTTACAGCCACTGGTTTTGCCGCTTGTAAAAGTTACTTCAAAGCACGGGGCACTTCCTGTCAGCTCGGACTCAGCAGGCCTCTGCCTGAGGATCTCAATGTGCGTGCTGGTGTGTATGGGACTAAAAGGTCCGAAATATAACAAGGTGAGAGGCCATGAAGAGCTTTAAAAGTAATCAATAAAATTTTAAAGTCAATTCTAAAACACACTGGGAGCCAGTGTAATGAAGCTAAAACAGGAGTAATGTGGTCATATTTCTTAGTTCTGGTTAAAAGCCTGGCAGCTGAGTTCTGGACAGTCTGGAGTCGATCAGTGTCTATGAAGATTCTCAGTCATCCAGGTCATAGTTATCCAACGAAGGTTAAAATCAAGGGCAACTGGACTTGGTTGAAGATACTGGAAGACGTTTCGTCCCTCATCCAAAGAACTTCTTCAGTTCTGACTGACTGGCAGGGAAACTCAACTATTTAACCTCAGTGGTGTCGTTGGCCCGGGTCATCGATACCGCTGGTTCGTTAGTGTTCCTTGTTGCTGTGAAGACAGTCGTTACAGTTGTTAAGACTACCTGTGGCCAAGACTGAACGACCATCGTTGGTATCTTCACCTGAGGCCAGCAGGTTACAGTAGATTTTTTTTAAACAGGTGAAAAGGCTGTTGCAATAATCCAGGCGTGATGAGATGAAGGCGTGTAAAATGGTCTCGGTGTCCTTAAAAGTTAACATAGATCGAATTTTTGCTATATGACTAAGTTGATAAAAACATGATTGAACAAGCTTTGTTGTGTGCAGCTCAAAATTTAAATTACTATCAAACCAAACACCAAGGTTCTTTGCCACAGGCTTAATGTGATTTACTAGGGAACCAGCAGATGGCAGTATTTGATTTGCCATCTGTTGAGACCCGATGACCAGAATTTCTGTTTTGTCTGAGTTCAGCTGGAGGAAATTATTTGACATCCATTTTTTAACTTCACAAAGGCAGTTGTTAAGTGAACTCAGCATTCCAGGGTCTGTGGATCTGACGGGCAAGTATATTTGTGTGTCATCAGCATAAATATGAAAAGAAATACCATGTTTATGGATAATGTCCAAGGGGAAGCAGATACAAGGAAAACAAAATGGGTCCTAAGACCGACCCCTGAGGCACACCATATTTAACTGGACAGAATGAAGAGACATAGTTGTTTACAGACAAGCAAAACTTCCTATTTGACAGGTAGGATAAAAACCCATTCTAGGGCAGTACCAGAGATCCCCACCCAGTGCCTCAGTCTGTCTAACATGATATTGTGATAAATGGTGTCAAAAGCAGCACTAAGGTCCAGGAGTACCAGGACTGAGCACATGCCTTCATCAGCAGACATTAAAAGGTCATTGGTGACTTTAAGCAGGGCAGTCTCAGTGCTGTGGTACTTCCTGAAACCAGACTGAAACTTTTCAAATAATTTGTTATTTTCCAGTGAGCAGCTGTTTGGACACAATTCTTTCTAAAATCTTTGCAATAAAAGGCAGTTTTGAAATTGGTCTAAAATGTTGTGGGAGGGAGGGATCTAAATCAGGTTTCTTTAGAAGTGGGTTCACATAAGTGGTTTTAAAATAATCAGGGACACAACCAGTAGATAGGGAGCTGTTAAAAACAGAGATCAAATGGGGCCCAACAGAATCCATAAAGGGTTATTTAGTTTGGATAAACATGCTAAAGATCATCAGTGTGTCATGTCAACCCTCCAGCCTCTCTGACTGTGAGTCCCAGCAGCTCTCAGCTGTTTGAAGGACAGTCCGTCTCTCTGAGCTGTGAGGAGGACGACAGCTCTGCTGGATGGACGCTGACGATTAACACAACCAGAGGAACCAGGACTCAGTGTGGAGCTGACTGGGGAAGATCAGCTGGTTCTTCCTGTAACATCAGCTACATAAAACCATTGGACAGTGGAGTTTACTGGTGTGAGTCCAGAGAGGGAGCAACCAGTAACACCATCAGCATCACTGTCCCTGGTAAGATCAGACTGTGGAGTTAGTGTTGATGAAGCTGTGTGTAAATGATGAAATGCTGTAGTTTGTCTCTGTGTTGAGGTGGACCAGTGATCCTGCAGAGTCCTGTCCTCCCTGTGATGGAGGGACATGATGTCACTCTGCACTGTAAAACAGAGACCCCTCCCTCCTACCTCCCAGCTGGTTTCTATAAAGATGGCTTCCTCATCAGGACTGAGCCTACAGGTCACATGACCATCCACCATGTTTCCAAGTCTGATGAAGGCCTCTACAAGTGTAACATCAGAGGTCGTGGAGAGTCTCCATCCAGCTGGATCTCTGTCACAGGTGAGGAGGTTACCTCTGATTTCAGGACTTATTTCATTCAGAGATTCATGTGTGAATCGGCTCTGACAATATTTTAATAATCATGTAGGTGTACGCACAAATCCTCCACCTGCACTCAACCCAACTAATTATTTTCTCAGAATTATCCCACCTATACCGGTCCTTTTCAGGTAATTTCTTTATTGTGTTAATGGACGAGTGTTTTCTCATTTTAAATGTTTCCATGGGCGCAGTAATGTCACAGCAAATAACCTGGGACATTTATGCAGCTAAACGTAAATGAACCTGGACTGTGTGAGACCTTTTGGATGTGAAGAAGAATACAGAACATTGATCAGCATTAGATTCTGACTGATCCTGTCAACAGGTCAATTTAAATGTGAAGTTATGCTGCTGTGCCCCGTGCGTAAATGCGCACAGCGTCTCTTTTAATGGGGAAACGCTTCACCCTATTTCACCCACCCGGAAAGTCACAAAACGTTTTGCCCAAAGCTCTGCCTGCAGGAGGATGGGTGAAATAGGATGAATCGTCTCCCCATTAAGAAAGATGCTGTGCGCATTTACACGATGCATGACGCATAACGTCATTGATTATTTGAACCACTCCAACAGGATCAGTCAGGATGAACTGACCGCAGCCTCTCTGATCATGAAAGTAATTAGTTAAAGCACAAACTGCCAATAGAAATCTATTTACATATGATCCATCAGAGGAGCTACCGTCTTGTTAAGAGGAGCTGAGCTCCCTCGTAGTTTGCACCCTGCCTACAATCTCAACCGTGAGATTCCAGCAAATAACTTTACTCTTTTACTCATCGATTTGTTTTTCTGAT